CAAGAGATGGGACCAGTGGTGCCCTCACTCTTTCCTAAACTGTGACTCCTGTATGTACTAGAGCTAGCCCTCTTACCGTTATAGGAGGTGAGACTCGAGTGCGGTTTTCTACAGGGACTGTAGCTCCACATAATTGTCCTACTTCTAGTAGTGGCTTGGTATCAATGCTTTGAATTTGCCTTGGTCAAGCAGAGGCTTTGGAGGTCTTTGACTCTCAGGGATGGAGGAGTCTTACATGGTATGCCTTTCTTCTCAACTTTGATTTTGTACTCGCCTCCTTTCCTTCATATTCTGCTTTTTGAATGCTTGCAGTCAGCTGCTACTTTTCCCTGCCCTTTTCAAGGACAATCAAGCTTAGAGAGGCATTTAGACATCTGGTAACAGAGAGGCAGACACGGGGCTACTGAGATCAGCTAAGGTTGGTTCATGAGAGAGTAACACCTCTTGAGACCGAGCTTTTGGCGACTCATGAGAAAGGTGTTAAGCTAAAGATTGAGGCTGATAAAGAGACTGTCTACGTAAGAGCAGAGTCAGGGCTGCGAACGTCTCGTGAAAGAGTCGTAGGCCAAGCTACATATAACTCTAGAGAGGGCTACCATGACAGAGACTTATAAGGAGACTACCTGCACGAGAGCAGAGTCAGAGCTGCGAACGTCCTGTGAGAGAGCCGCTAAGTTAGAGGCAAAGCTACGTATATCTTAGAAGATGGCTATCGTGGCAGAGGCTTATAAGGAGACTACCTGCATGAGAGTAGAGTCAAAGTTGGGGTCGTCCCGTGAGAGGGCTGCTAAACTAGAGGCCGAGCTATGTATAGCTCGTGAGATGGTTGTCGTGGTAAAAGCTTATAAGGAGACTACCTGCGCGAGAGCAGAGTCAGAACTGTGGATGTCTCATGAGAGGGCCACTAAGCTAAAGGCTGAGCCACGTATAGCTCGAGAGATGGCTATCGTGGTAGAGGCTTATAAAGCAACTACCTGCACTAGAGTAGAGTCATAGCTGCGGACATCCTGTGAGAGGGACACTAAGCTAGAGGTCGAGCTATATATAACTCAGGAGATGGGTGTCGTGGCAGAGACTTATAAGGAGACTACTTGCAGGAGAGCAAAGTCAGAGTTGTGGACGTCCCATGAGAGGGCTGCTAAGCTCGAGGCTGAGCTACGTATAGCTCGGGAGATGGCTGACGTGGCAAAAACTTATAAGGAGACTATCTGCACAAGAGCAGAGTCAGAGTTGCAGACGTCTCGTGAAAGGGCCGCTAAGCTAGAGGCCGAGTTACGTATAACTCGGGAGATGGCTGTCGTGGTAGAGATTTATAAAGAGACTACTTGCGCGAGAGCAAAGTCATAGCTGCGAACGTCCTGTGAGAGGGCCGCAAGAGCTGAGGCTGAGCTACGTATAGCTCGGGAGATGGCTGCTGTGGTAGAGGCTCATTCCATTGAGATGGAGATAAGGAGGGAGGTTGCTGAGAAGGCCATTGCAAACACCTTTATGAAGAGCTTGATAGATTTTCCTGCTATTGATTTCTCTAACTTCATCCCATATGAGGCACCAGAGGAAGATGGTGACGGGGAGAAAGATGGTGACGGGGAGAGCCTTGATGATAGTGGCTTAGGGGACCGTGACTGATCATCGGGAGTATGACGACTTTTGTTTTTTTGTCTACCTTGTTGTTAGGTCATGTTCTCACTTTTATAAGCTGTCTAAAAACTTTATTAAAGCAAGACAGTTCCAGATACAATAATCTTCGCAAAGTTTTATTTCATAAAATAATAAATAACAGAATAAATCGACTAAAATAATAAAGGACAGATAAAATGAGAGCCACTGACTTGTTGGGGCCCCTAGGATCATCCTGTATTTGAAACAGGATATGCTCCACAAAAGCATTGAGTGACGTGAAGGCTTGTTGCTCTCTCAGAGGCTGGGGGACCAAGGTAGTCCTTGACAGAGATTCTCTCTGTCCTATTCCTTTTATTTTCTGCTTCTCACTTATCATCACGGGTGTCCTTGCTCTTCTCGCCCCCGTGGGAGGACTCACCTCGTTTGGCTTTGGTAACATTCTCGGCGTTCATGTATTTTTGTGCCCTTGACAGCAACTCGGGCATAATGGAGGACGGCTTCTTAGGGATGGAGAACATGAAGCTAGACCAGCAATAAAGGCGGTCAGGGCTACCTTATTGTCTAGCTCCTGGATTTGGAGAGCCTTCTCATTGAAACGAGTGAGGTAGCTCCTAAGACTTTCATCCCAATCTTGCTTGATAGTGAGCAGGTGGGTAACAGGCTTTTGATGTCGACGTACTCCAATAAAGTGGGAGACAAAGGATTTGCTCAGCTCTGCGAACGAGTGGATAGAGGAGGGTTTGATCTTGCCGAACCACTAGCATACGAGTCCCTTAAGGGTGGTAGCTCTACACATAATCTTATCCGGCACATTGTGGAGTTGCATGGGAGATTTGTAGGTGTCAAGATGATCTAGAGGGTCCTTAGTACCGCTGAAAATCTCGATGGCATACATCTTGAACTTCGAGAGTAAGGGCTAATTGACAATATCGGCAACAAACGGGGTATCAGTGCGCCTTACCAGGTAATCTACAGTCTCTAGCGCTTGTGCCTTAATGACGTTGAGGGCATCACCAAGTTGATTTTGCACCTCTCTATTCTTCTCGGCCCACTAATTGGGGACATCTCTGTTGGGTTGTTGTACTGGCTTCCGTGATCGACATATTGGCTTGCTCCTTCGTTCTTCTGCGCAGGTACATGAGGAGGGGGAGCATATAAGCTTCATACATGCTGAGGAGGGACTGTTGGGCGAGGGGCATCCTGGCGTTACCTAAGGGCATTCTGATAAGGACCCCCATGGTGGGGGGTTGCTTGGCGTCCAGAGTGGTTAGGTTGTTGCGCCTCTTCCATTGGAGGGAGTGGTGCTCCTTCTACGGGCTGGGGAGCGACGCCTCCCGAGACGGCGAGCATCAACTAAATGATTTGCTAGTTCTGGTTTACTAGCAGCTGCATAGTCTGTAAGAGTTGTTGCCCGACCACAGAAGTCGCGATAGTGAATGGTTCCGAGAGTGCGAGGGGAGGCGAAACCTCTTCTTGGGGGGTCGGGTTATTGTCTCCCAGTTCTTGACTCATCGACCTGGTCATGATTGTCATGGAGTAGCAAGGTAGTAGAACATTTATTTGATTCCCACAGACAGCGTCAAACTGATGATGCACAAAATTATCTTGTGTAAGATCAAAGCAATCAATGGCAAAAATAATAAATATTGAGTCAATACACAAATATATAGTGGTTTGGTCCGGGTGACTTACTCCACTCTCAAAAGCGACAACGGTGGCTGGTGGCTTTTTATTGATGAATAGAGTAAAAGAGAGAAAACACTCCGAGAAAGGTACAATAGCTAGAAGAGCAAAGTTGTGTTTAGATGTAGAGAGATGTGTTGAGAGATCTTTAGGTGTCATCTATCATATGGAGAGGGCTTACAATTTATATGTATGTTGAGAAAGTGAGGTGAAGCGATGACGTGAGTGAGAAGACACTACTTCTGCGGGGAGAATAGTTACAAAAGATAAGTACAATTAATGTAGGATTGATATTCCTGAGTGTGTATCCCTATAATCTCTCTCCTATATACTCTTATCTTCTCAGGCTCTTCAGATCTTGGACTGGGCCAAATTGTTGGACTGAGCCTAAGTTGTTTTTTAGCTGACTTGAACTTTCTTGATTTATTGAACTTGGATTCTATTTTTTAGTTTTATTTTAGATGAATGTCATTAATGTATTTTTTTATATTGATTTTATTTTTGACAAAGATTATTGAATATATTTGGTTTATTGAATTTTTTTTTTTGAAATTGTCAATCTAAAAATAACTTTCTTATATTTTTTTTATTAATTTTTGAATTACTATTCAAATATATATTTAAACTTTCCAAACAGATTTTACTATTTTCTATACTGTAAAATTATTTTTAAAATCATCTAACCAAACTAATTTTTTTATCTCAAAAAATATTAAAACTACTTTCTTAAAACTCTTTTCAAAAACTCTTTTCGAATACTATTTTTTGAAACACAAACCAAATAAGCTTCATCTTCTCCTTTTCTTTTTTTTCTTTTTTTTTTGACTTTTTTGTTTCTCTCTCTAATCTCTATCTATGTAATTCAACAGACAAATATGGCCATCTTCCTCAAAATCGTCCAAAAAAAAAAAAAAAATCTTTTTCCAAACCCATACAACTTTCTCATTCAAACCCATATATATCTCTCTAGCTACTAATTGGAGTTGCCTGATCAAAATTAGGTAACATGACAAGTCCAATTTATAAATAAGCTCATTTCCCTTTTATTATTGTCTTTCGTAGGGATGCCAATCGCCAAATAAGAGCACGAGTTCATAGAGAAATAACTCTCAGCGCAAATTTGCTCACGGAGCACGAGAGCATTAAAGAATTTAGAAAAAAAGAAATTAACATGCCATGCAAATGAAAGTAGAGAACCCGGCTAGTCAAACTCATACAAGTTCCCAAACTAAGAAATAAATATGTAAATCTATAATTTTTGTTTGGATACATAAAAATATATAATTTAAAACCATAGATACCCAGACAACTTTTCCCAACCTAAGCTATATAAACCCACAACCTTCTCATGGAGAATTTGAGGAAAACTATTTACGTGATATTTCGCTGAGTCAAAAAGTCAAATAACTAACCAGCCAGCTTCAAAAAATAAAGATAGCCAGCCACTCAGACGACTNTTACGTGATATTTCGCTCTGAGTCAAAAAGTCAAATAACTAACCAGCCAGCTTCAAATAATAAAGATAGCCAGCCGCTCAGACGATTAGTTTTTTTTTTTGGGTATTAGTTAGGAGTGTTGGACCAACTTACGTGCACCTCAATCAGCCAGCTAATTCTATAAAACCACCTGCTTAATGATGCAAACTCACCCTTTGTACCAGCAGCACAACTGAAACTTCTGAAGCTGAGAATCTTTAGTTACTCGTCATCATCAGTGTAGTTGTCATCACTATAGTGTTCATATACCTGATAATCCCTATCACTGGTTTCAGCATCTTGCAATTCATTGCTACCTGCTCCATGAAATGGAAAACTACCAAAAAGTTCTTGCAAGTAGTTTTGTGATATGTTCCCACGGGCTGTATCTGAACAAACATAGGAATTCTGATTGCGAAAAATGAGCCGTAAACATCATCTTATTGGTAAGAAACCAAAAGCTAAAACCCAATTCAGTAGAAATAAAGAAAAGAGAGATGATGGGTGAGGAATCCTCCAAACTCCGATAGCATATACACCCAGAATTTATTTTAAAAAAGAAAAACACTCAAGACAAGTGATATCTGTTCCCTCACCACAGCCATGAGAAAAGCTCAAGGCCAATAAAAGTGCTCTCTCTATGATGAAATCCGCCACCAACAATCACCATCGGTAAAGCAATGAGGGAACTACATGCCCATAGTTTTCCTAAGGTTGTCCAAAAGGTCTAGAACTCTATTTGAATGGCAAACTCATCACCACCACTTTTTTTGCAGGCCTACCTAGAGGGCAGTATATCTGTCATAAACATTTCTTCATCTCTATTTCCTCAACTTTTTCCGGTACATCAAAACAATGAAAACATCCAAGACAGATAATGGTTACACTAATTCATGGGCCCAGCTCAAATGGTGCGATACTCTACTGGCAATTGCCATCAGAGTAATCCTAATGTGGTCCCTCCAACAAAAATGAAGTCCGACCACAGGATATCTCTTTATTGGATTACATTTTACTTGTTAACTGCCTTCCAGTTGAAATTTGTAAAAGTTGTTTGAAAGTTTGACCAGCATTTTTCACATTGGGGACTTTTTAATAGGAACATAATAACAAAAGGGTATTTTGCAAGGATACATGAACATGGTTGTAGAGTAAACTTTCCATCCTCACCAGCCTACAAACAAGAAACGGGAAAGGGAAATTAAAAGGATAAATGAGACAGACTTGAAAACAAAAAAAGAACTAACACTAAAATTTTTGAATAAACGCATTAGAACATAAAGTATATGCGGCTTTACCAAATNTGTAGAGTAAACTTTCCATCCTCACCAGCCTACAAACAAGAAACGGGAAAGGGAAATTAAAAGGATAAATGAGACAGACTTGAAAACTAAAAAAGAACTAACACTAAAATTTTTGAATAAACGCATTAGAACATAAAGTATATGCGACTTTACCAAGTCAAGTGCCTCGTGTACATCTGCCTCTTCAATATTATCATCCTCAATTTCATCTTCTTCATNACAAACAAGAAACGGGAAAGGGAAATTAAAAGGATAAATGAGACAGACTTGAAAACTAAAAAAGAACTAACACTAAAATTTTTGAATAAACGCATTAGAACATAAAGTATATGCGACTTTACCAAGTCAAGTGCCTCGTGTACATCTGCCTCTTCAATATTATCATCCTCAATTTCATCTTCTTCATCTTCATCATCATTGGCTTCTTTGTCTTCATTATCCACAATCTCTGCACAAATTGGTTTGATGATACTCTAAATGATGACTACTTGAGTACATTAAGTGAAAGAAACCTAAAATAGAATTTAGCGGCAACTAGCAAGCTATTTGGACTAATTTATTTGGAACCATTCAAACATTATAAATAATATTTACCTAATTATTCACACTAATGTCAGTTGATTGAGGCTCAAATTGCCCAAAAAAAAGGCATGGCAAACTCTTATAGACAAGTTTTGAAAGTTATAGTTCTGATAGTTAACTAGAACCTTTATTGACTTGCTGCCTTTTTACATCAGGTCTTGAATTCTTTGCAGGAATGCGCACCCTCTTTGACTTTTCAAAGCGAGCTGAAGCAGATTTTAGCAATGACTCTGCACCAGGCTTAGGGTATACTGATAAGAACCTCACAGCAACATGTAATCGCAAACTATCAAGCACACGTGACGAGAACCAGCCTGTTGCAAACTGTAAACTAATAAGAATTTAAACATCAGGTAATATTGCACCTACATCATCTAGCACTTCTTACTGACTACAGAAGAGGATCAGTTTGCTTTGATTGTATAAATATGCATTCAGGAGTTTTGTTATATTGTGCCTGACACTTCAAAAACTAACTAAAAGCAAAAAAAGATCACTGGTCCATATCAAACCATAGAAAAACAACAGTCAAACACAAAAATACAGTCTAAAAGATCAATAGCCCTCATTAACTCCTACAAGAAAACAAAGACAATCTCAAAACGCACAAGGGGCACTCCCTGGGTGCAGGTCTGAGGCGAGCTCCTCAAGTGCCTAAGACACTTCGCTCCAAACCATGCGTGGTGCAACAGCCTCAGCTCGCCTTGCCTCACCTAGGTGGGCTCTTAAAAACTTTGGCAGAGAACGTATTCGCATAGTACCCCATGTCCCCAAGTACATCAAATTGGCTAACAATTATGGAGCCTCAAAACACTAAAAGCTATAAGTTGAGGATTGGTATGAAACTTCTCATTTTTCACATTTTCAGAAACCATGTTCTTTTTTTTTTAAAGGAGAAAAATGTTGAACATGGAGCAATATGATTCTTACGCTGCAAGAAGCTTGGTTCGAAGGTTTTCTAATTTCTTGTTGGATGTAGTCATCCACAAGTTCAAATAGCTGTAATGAAATTTGGCACTTATAAGGAAAAACACGGAATGCACAAATATCCTCCCATCTATGCATCAACCTACACAAAAGAAAAGCAAAGTTGGAGAAATCAATAGGGTTATGGTACAGTAAGATATGTTCAGTAGGCAGAAAATAAAATCAATAACCATCCCAGTGAACAATCGAAAGAGTTCCGGCCCAGCCAAAACCCTAACGAGAGTAACACCTGCCTCTCATTATAAATGCAGAGGGATAAGCTGTAGCCAAATTACACAACAGAATAAAAAAGACAGAAGATGGAAAAACAAAGAGGATGTGATGAAAAGAAGAAAAAATTTGAGCAGACAGAGAACTTAACATTTACAGCTCTCATTTTTCCTTAATTGTGTACTTCGAGTATGTACATAGCATCTTTCTACGTCTTTAGATTTTCACAATCAACTTATTGATTTACTCCCAGCTCTTTGTCAAAAAGCTTCTTTTTAACTCTCATCTGTATTCCAAACTCATCCATCCCAATTAAACTCCTTTGTTATTGTTATAGGTGCAGGTGCTTGCTTGAATAATAGCTTAGGGTAAGGTGAATGTTTGCGACTTGTTGCAAAAGAGAAGGTCTAACACTTATATTTCTCCACATCTGTGTGTAATATACAAGCAATGTTGTGAATGTATTTAACATTTGTTCCTTCATTGTCTTAGCTATTTTCGTGTGGCATAAGATTTTGTGGGAGGCGGATTTGGCATGTGTCACACTTGTTATGTTGTTTCTCTTTTCGTAATGCGATTTGGTGGTTTTGGCAATGGCAAAAAAGCTTTAACTTCATGGAAATGTGGGGTCTTGGCTATTTTTTGGGTGGTTTGGATAGAGAGAAATTGTAGAATCTTTGAAGGACGGGAGGATATGGAATTTTTAGGGGGTAGAGTGAAGTTTTTGCAATTTTTATGGATTGTTGTTACCAAAGACTTTCATGACACTTCTCTCTTAGGTCTCGAACACAATTGGAAAGTAATTTTTACTCCATAGTATTTGTTTTCTTCGCTTAATTTTTACTCTTTTTGGTGGACTTCTTATCCACTNTAAAGGGCAAATGCCCATGCAGACCACCTTCTGAGCATGTTGCTTCCAAAGTTCAGACCTTTTTCAAGCAAGAGTTCGGCTAATGATTCTTTGATCCATATTGGACGCTCATCAAACAACTTACATACCGCCATTTGCCAGTCCCACTGATTTGAGCCTTGGGGTATGTATTTCTCCCACTTGACTTTCTTAGGAATCTGTATGAATGTTAAGTGCAATGAAACCAAGAAAACTGCAGAAGGAATATGTCTACATCTTGTAATTACTTTGAATTTAAGCCATATATGAGATTATATACGATCATATTCAACATTAATTTATAGTCTAATTGCTGATGATAATAATGATGAAGGTTTGAAAACTAAATGCAGATGTCAAGTCACCAGCATAATACAGATCAAGTAGGCTACTAAAAAAGGAAAAAGCAACAACAAAAACCTCAAGAAGCATTGCTATGCCTTAATAGTTAGCAACTATATATTATAATAAGCACTTCTCCTATCAATTCTTTCCCTACACTATCTTGGATGTATGAATTGCCATTTAGGTTTCCATCATCAGTTTCCCTTTGGCCCATGGTTCAAGGTATCGGCCGAGTTCGATACGACTTGGCCATTAAGGATACAATAACGGTACGCGAATCGCAAGAATTACGAATTAAAAATATCGGCGATATCTCGGACATCTCGGCCGAAATAAAAGGAATCGATGATAACTCGGTTCAACTCGATCGATATGAATCGGAATCTTTCCGAGTCGAACAAGACAACAAAAAAATCCCCCAAACCTGAGATAACAGAACAAAAATTCAAGACCACCTCTGTAAAAGTTTAAAAACACTCAACAATTTTTCAAAAATTGAACAAAAATCTAAAAAAAAAAAAGGGGGATGGGAAATAATGCAGACCCATTACCAGTCGAACCCGTGTGAAAATTGCAAAAATCACATAAACTGTTGTCGTCTCTTCTATCTGCACCTCTTTTTCTCTCTCTATCGTCGTGACTAAGAAGTGAGAAGACGAAAGCTTCGTCTAATCTGAAAAGGTAACTAGGATTTTTATGTCTGATCTGATCTTAAAAAAAAAAGAATCTTTAAAAGTTGTGTCAGATTTTTTTTTATTTGACTGAGTGTTTATATATTTATATTTTTCATTAAAGGTAACATAAAAGTAGCAGGTCAATTGGATAGAGTTGCAAATTATCATGCTGGTAACCGGCTCAACTCTTCCAAGGCTCCAACATGCTGTGTTTTACATTATTTTAGGTACAATTACATTTAAATTACTCCAGAGAGGCCAAGGCAATCGGATTCGATTCTCCCAGATAAGCTAATGTTACAATTACATTATTGTTATATTTAAATTACTTATTTATTAAATAAATATTACAAGTATTATTTTTTAATGATCAAAAAAATTAGAACTTTAATATAATAATTAGATACATTAATATTTTATAATAATAAATAAATTGATATAAGTTCTATTTTTTGATAAAAAATATGTTTTATTTCAAATTATGTAAAATTAAATGTTACAATTACAATAACGACGATTTTGAGTCTCATCGTCATTCAATGTGGCAATAATTATGGCTTAATATGTTCCTAATTGTCTATGTTAAACTTTGATAATGATAATTATTTTCGGTAGCGAGTTTATGTTTCATTTTAATTATATTTAATGTGTTTTCAGATGTATTGTGGACATATGATGCATGAATGATGATGTTTATATTTTTAAAATTTTCTATAATTTTTTCAAATTTTTTTGGAGCTTCTATCTTGTGTTTAGAACATATCGGCCGAGACTACGCCGCGACACTGCACCTGATGTGTATCGGCACCCTCCAAGTCAATGGCCGATACCGCGACTTCAAACCATGCCTTGACCCTTGGTATAGAGGAAAAATGGATACCGGTCTAAAATCTGTTTTTGTATTCACCTACAATACCAATGGGATTTCATTTTGATACATTCTAAACATTTTTCAGTGTGTTTCGACAAAAAACAACCTTCTTTTTAATAAAAACATGTGAATTTCAAAGCTCCGATATGGTTCACTTGGAAATAAAAACATTTCAACTATTTGAATCAAAAAAACAGATATTTTTATCCCTAGTATTTCTAAGCCAAAAAAGCATCAGGCATGGGGAACCCCAAGTCGGCAAATTCCACGAATGCTTTGAAAAGACATTTCTTTTTCCTATATATATTTGAATTGTTGAGAAACAAAATCACTATGTTTTGGAAAATAAAGCGTTGAGGGCAAACAAAATATGCACAATTCTGTTGAACTTTAGAAAAGGGCTTGCAAAAATTATCATGACTTTAGTGTTAAAAAAGGGCTGTGGAAAGTAGGGTTTGAAGGTTTGGGTGGCTACACCTTTATGTCATTGGCATACATGGTTGGAGCTGAACAATGACATGTGGAGGATCAGGAGGTGTCAATTTTTGAGTTTAAGAGGATCTTCCCTAGAGCAATTTTTTCACTGGTATTCTAGGATGGCTCTACTCTCTTGGAGGGTTTTTGTTAGACCTGTCAAAATTTAACACGACACAATTAATCGATACGAATCGACATGAATTAAGCAGGTTTGTGTGAGATTATAACGGGTTTAGGTGGTAAACGGGTTAACANGGATTCACGGTCTTTGCGAGGATCAAATCCTTTTCTAATCCAGAACCTAAGGAATGGTCCGTTTGAAAAGTAATATGCCGTTCTAAAAAGAAGCCTACAAGATCAAACAAATGCACGGTTATGACATATTATATGAGATAACCAATTGCCAGATCAGTTCATGTAATCTCAATCAATTAGAATACGACGTAATATAAAGGGCAAATGCCCATGCAGACCACCTTCTGAGCATGTTGCTTCCAAAGTTCAGACCTTTTTCAAGCAAGAGTTCGGCTAATGATTCTTTGATCCATATTGGACGCTCATCAAACAACTTACATACCGCCATTTGCCAGTCCCACTGATTTGAGCCTTGGGGTATGTATTTCTCCCACTTGACTTTCTTAGGAATCTGTATGAATGTTAAGTGCAATGAAACCAAGAAAACTGCAGAAGGAATATGTCTACATCTTGTAATTACTTTGAATTTAAGCCATATATGAGATTATATACGATCATATTCAACATTAATTTATAGTCTAATTGCTGATGATAATAATGATGAAGGTTTGAAAACTAAATGCAGATGTCAAGTCACCAGCATAATACAGATCAAGTAGGCTACTAAAAAAGGAAAAAGCAACAACAAAAACCTCAAGAAGCATTGCTATGCCTTAATAGTTAGCAACTATATATTATAATAAGCACTTCTCCTATCAATTCTTTCCCTACACTATCTTGGATGTATGAATTGCCATTTAGGTTTCCATCATCAGTTTCCCTTTGGCCCATGGTTCAAGGTATCGGCCGAGTTCGATACGACTTGGCCATTAAGGATACAATAACGGTATGCGAATCGCAAGAATTACGAATTAAAAATATCGGCAATATATCGGCGATATCTCGGACATCTCGGCCGAAATAAAAGGAATCGATGATAACTCGGTTCAACTCGATCGATATGAATCGGAATCTTTCCGAGTCGAACAAGACAACAAAAAAATCCCCCAAACCTGAGATAACAGAACAAAAATTCAAGACCACCTCTGTAAAAGTTTAAAAACACTCAACAATTTTTCAAAAATTGAACAAAAATCTAAAAAAAAAAAAAGGGGATGGGAAATAAAGCAGACCCATTACCAGTCGAACCCGTGTGAAAATTGCAAAAATCACATAAACTGTTGTCGTCTCTTCTATCTGCACCTCTTTTTCTCTCTCTATCGTCGTGACTAAGAAGTGAGAAGACGAAAGCTTCGTCTAATCTGAAAAGGTAACTAGGATTTTTGTGTCTGATCTGATCTTAAAAAAAAAAAAAATCTTTAAAAGTTGTGTCAGATTTTTTTTTATTTGACTGAGTGTTTATATATTTATATTTTTCATTAAAGGTCACATAAAAGTAACAGGTCAATTGGATAGAGTTGCAAATTATCATGCTGGTAACTGGCTCAACTCTTCCAAGGCTCCAACATGCTGTGTTTTACATTATTTTAGGTACAATTACATTTAAATTACTCCAGAGAGGCCAAGGCAATCGGATTCGATTCTCCCAGATAAGCTAATGTTACAATTACATTATTGTTATATTTAAATTACTTATTTATTAAATAAATATTACAAGTATTATTTTTTAATGATCAAAAAAATTAGAACTTTAATATAATAATTAGATACATTAATATTTTATAATAATAAATAAATTGATATAAGTTCTATTTTTTGATAAAAAATATGTTTTATTTCAAATTATGTAAAATTAAATGTTACAATTACAATAACGACGATTTTGAGTCTCATCGTCATTCAATGTGGCAATAATTATGGCTCAATATGTACCTAATTGTCTATGTTAAACTTTGATAATGATAATTATTTTCGGTAGCGAGTTTATGTTTCATTTTAATTATATTTAATGTGTTTTCAGATGTATTGTGGACATATGATGCATGAATGATGATGTTTATATTTTTAAAATTTTCTATAATTTTTTCAAATTTTTTGGAGCTTCTATCTTGTGTTTAGAACATATCGGCCGAGACTACGCCGCGACACTGCACCTGATGTGTATTGGCACCCTCCAAGTCAATGGCCGATACCGCGACTTCAAACCATGCCTTGACCCTTGGTATAGAGGAAAAATGGATACCGGTCTAAAATCTGTTTTTGTATTCACCTACAATACCAATGGGATTTCATTTTGATACATTCTAAACATTTTTCAGTGTGTTTCGACAAAAAACAACCTTCTTTTTAATAAAAACATGTGAATTTCAAAGCTCCGATATGGTTCACTTGGAAATAAAAACATTTCAACTATTTGAATCAAAAAAACAGATATTTTTATCCCTAGTATTTCTAAGCCAAAAAAGCATCAGGCATGGGGAACCCCAAGCCGGCAAATTCCACGAATGCTTTGAAAAGACATTTCTTTTTCCTATATATATTTGAATTGTTGAGAAACAAAATCACTATGTTTTGGAAAATAAAGCGTTGAGGGCAAACAAAATATGCACAATTCTGTTGAACTTTAGAAAAGGGCTTGCAAAAATTATCATGACTTTAGTGTTAAAAAAGGGCTGTGGAAAGTAGGGTTTGAAGGTTTGGGTGGCTACACCTTTATGTCATTGGCATACATGGTTGGAGCTGAACAATGACATGTGGAGGATCAGGAGGTGTCAATTTTTGAGTTTAAGAGGATCTTCCCTAGAGCAATTTTTTCACTGGTATTCCAGGATGGCTCTACTCTCTTGGAGGGTTTTTGTTAGACCTGTCAAAATTTAACACGACACAATTAATCGATACGAATCGACATGAATTAAGCAGGTTTGTGTGAGATTATAACGGGTTTAGGTGGTAAACGGGTTAACACGTCAAACACATTTAATAAACGGGTTGTATTCGGGGTGAGACCTGTCAAATCGTTTATCACACGTTTATCTTTTTAAATAAAATTAATATAATAATAAATTAATAATTATTTTAAACAATTACAGAAAAAAGTAAAAAAATCAATAAAAAAAAAAAAGTAAAATAGTAGTTCAAAGACAAAGGAGGGGACATGGGGAGCAATTCATGACAAAGACAAACCAACCCCTTTTGTTTTTGTCCCACAATGGCAAATGAGGGGAGATAAGAAGGGTTGCCTTGCCTATAAAAGACAGTGATCTCTTGCCTTTTTTTTTTAGATTTTAAGTCTGATTTTTATATAAAATTTGACTAGAAATTCCTATTTTTTGANAGTAAAGTAGTAGTTCAAAGACAAAGGAGGGGACATGGGGAGCAATTCATGACAAAGACAAACCAACCCCTTTTGTTTTTGTCCCACAATGGCAAATGAGGGGAGATAAGAAGGGTTGCCTTGCCTATAAAAGACAGTGATATCTTGCCCTTTTTTTTTAGATTTTAAGTCTGATTTTTATATAAAATTTGACTAGAAATTCCTATTTTTTGAGGTAAATACAATTGACAGTAAAAAAAATGGTGTATTAAAATTTGTTGAGATTAAAAAAAATGGTGTATTAAAAAAATCATGTTCATGTTGGGATTTTTCACCCGTTTATTAAATGTATCGTGTATGGGTTTACATGTTTTTCACACATCAACCGACACGTAACAGTTTAACCCGACACGTTTAACACCTCTAATTTTTGTTAATTTTTTGGGGAATTTGGTGTCGTTAACATATGTAGCATTTAGGGTTTTTATTGACAACTCTTTGTATTGATTATAGATTTCCTTAGCCATGTAGGGTTTTAGTGACAACACTTGGTATCCATAATAGACTTTCTTAGACATGCAAATCTCTAAATTAGGCCTTTTCCCCTGTGTATATGGTGCAGGACAAAGCTAGAACAAGGAATTTTAAGGCTGCCCTAGAACCAGATTTGGAGCTCAGGGACTAAAAATTTAGGGTTTGTGATTGAGAAGACAAACTTAGGTCCGAGCACTTTTGGCATAGTTGTCAAATCGTGTATTGAAAGGTGTATCGTTTTTTAAAAATAGTATATCATATCGTATCGTATATCGTAAGATACGACGCAATTTTAAATAATTAATAATAAAATATATATGTTTTTAAAAAAAAATCATAGACTCATAAAAACATAACATTTCATTAATATTCTACCTACTATTCAAGTCACCAATATAATTTACTAATATTAAAAAAATAATGAAGGGTATCAAATTAAATTAATGGTACTTATCTATACTTAAAATTAAAAAGTTACAATGTAGTGGAGTAATAAATGTAATTCTTCATACTTGTAACAAAAAAACACAATCGTGAGTCTCGTGATCCACGAATAGAGACAAGAGACAAAAGAGGTGAGAGGCGATGGGCGATGACGGTGTCGGAGAGAGAGAGAAGAAGAAGAAGAACATACCTAGTGGTTGGTACCTCGTTATCGCAGCTCACAGCGATGAAGAGAGAGATCGTGAGACAGCGAGAGAGATCGTGAGACAGAGAGAGATCATGAGACACAAAGAGAGAGATCGTGAGACCTAAGGTTTCATCCGAAATTTACAGGTTAGTGTTGTTATTTTTTTCAATTTTAAAAATTTGTTTGATTTGCTTTTGCTTGGGTGTTTTTGTTGATTTGTGGGTTTGGTGGACTGATAATTCTTGTCTTCATCTCTGTTGCCTTTTCGTTGGCACTTTCTCTATTCTCTGAACCTATCAACGATTTGGTGCGAATCAGTGTGACTCCAATGCAAATCAGCCATCTCAAACGATACTATGCGAATCAACTGTGCATTCTAATCAAAAAAAAAAAATTAAACAAAGACTTAGCGAATTGTTTGTATCAACCAATATGAATCGAATCGTAAAAACATACCATATATCGGACGATACTATACAAAAACGATACAAAACTCTAATTCGTATTGTTTTACCTATGTATCGTGACGTATCGACACTAATAACTATGCTTAAGGGAGACCTAGGATTGTATGAGTCGAGGTTTTGGATTGGTTTTAACTTTTTGTGTGAAACCTTGCAATAACTAGTAAGGTCGCAGAATTTCCTGTATAAACGAGCTTATAATGGCAGAGTAAATCAGGACTGGGGTTTGTTTTGGGTTTTGGGTTCAACGGTTCAAGGTTATGAATGACATAAGAGGGTGGAGAAGGCAGGTATGACCATCAAGTCTGCGGGGAAGCCAAACAAGAAGGAAAATATAGATGATGCATAGAAACCTTCAGAACTCTCTAAGGGCTTCTAGAACTCTCACCGACAAGAATTTTAATGGACTCTAAATCTTACAGAGATGAAAAATATGCAAAGAATTTTTATCATCAACTGCATTAAATTGTATCCACGAGAACATGCTTATAAAGAGCATAAGAAATAACACTATTTGGAGAGCCCTAATGGAAACTCCATTAATTCCATAAAAATAAAGGACAAAAAATAAGCAAAACTTATTAAATACGAAACCCAAAAAATTGAAATTTCCAAAATACCCCTAATCTGCAATTTACTAAAACAACCCTAGGCCAATATGAAGTCAAAACAAGTG